ATTTGTGAGGATATATTTTCTTACAGCTTTTCACCGCGCGTGCGCTTGCTTATTCATGTGTGTGTGTGAGCAGGCACGCAGTTGTCATCTAACAAGTCTGGATGCACCGTCTATGCCTACCAGCTTGTGAACTTGACAATAAAGGTTTAAGTGACTGCAAGTGCAACGAGGGACACCAACTATGACAATTAGATTTCTTTTTTGTGGACACGAGGTGGTAATAGACTAACAGAGCTAGTCAAAACTGTAATAGATAATCACGTGGCAATAGATGCAGAACTGAAAGGCGATTAAGATTCGGATCAGTGAACAGAATCACTGTATACAGTCAACTTGAAGCAAACTATTCGCTACTTGGCCCCTCTGGAGTAATCACGTAAGGTAGGAAATTTATCGGAAACTAGTCAGTGTAGATTTGTTTGGTTTCTTATGATATACCAATATGGCGGCGGGGCTATCTCTCTTCTGGAGGGTTTAGGGAGCAAAATGTCACTGTACACCGCTATACCGTAATTATTGATTATTTGTCATACCCTGGAATTCGCGTTACCCATCATGCCCTCCCAACTGGCCAGATATTATAGCCATGGTTCGTTCACACACACACACACACACACACACACACACACACACACACACACACACACACACACACACACACACACACACACACACACACACACACACACACACACACAGATATAATGGGGCGGATATGTAATTTTTTATTGTTTTTTGTCAAGTTGTGCACTTCCGGAAAGAAACATGAAAGTTAGGCCCAGTTTTTTTTAGGGGGGGGGGGGCATGCTGAATTAAAATTGCGGGAACCACGACGTCACTCCGGCTGCTCCCGTAAAAGGAGATGCAAATGATGAAACTAACTTCAGAAATTCAAAACCTATTGCAATCTTACTCCAATGCAGGGCTTAAAACTTAGCTATAGGAGCTAACACCATGCTGGGGCTTAGCCTAACAATGTTTGAACCCGGCCCTGAATGTAGGTGTGAACTGAGTCTTACTGTGTCAGACACCCCAAGCTGCTTTCTTTCCTGTTCCGGGGAATGCAGAGACGGTATCACACCCTGATATCGCATGCTTAAACAGAAGACCCCATGAAGCATCTTTTCCTAGTTCAGCTGAAATCAGGTGACAAGGAATGTATGGAAGTTTAGATTAGGTTAGGTTTAGAACCACGATCGAATGCTACTCACATTTCGCAATCTTTTGATACGGCAATAGCGAGAACCACCGCATCCGTATCAGTTACTTGTATCATCAATTTGGTGAATCATAGACCGATTCGGTGTGACGTCACGAGTCGGGAGTCGCCATTCCGCTTGGTGAAAACAAACCCGTCGCTCGCAGATACCTCGTTATCAGCGCGAGAGAAAATGGCGTATGGAAACTTAGATTCTTTAAAAACCGAAGCGAAAAAGCAATACGAATTAAAACTAGAAGCTGTACAGCTACAAGAATGCATGGGAAGGATGGAACAGGAGCCGTGTGTCCGCTTTGTAAGTGCAGGACAAGTCTGAGATGTCGGCAGAAGATGTCGCCTTTTGAGAGATTTGTTTGTCATAAATTCAATAAGTATGCGACATCATCGGATTTATGAAGAACGTTCAGACGTTTATTGAATACTTTTACAACGCTATCATGTGCATCTCACATGGCCATTGGCATGAAGTGTGGACTGTTTGTATTCGATGAGTCATAACTAATTTTCGAGGAAAGGAAATATGTTGATGTTTAATGAATAATGGATATTATTTTAGCAAAGAAGGTACAAATCGTACATCAGTTCGATTAGAATTAAGACCATTAAAAATGAAGGGGAATATTATGTCTTGATATGTGTTTTATTGTTTTTCTTGACCTCAAAAACATAAGTATATAAATCAAGATCAGGGCACTTAAAGCAATGTTGTGGACGAAAACGTATCGTGGCAGTTATTTTAAATTTCTTATTTTTTGCCGGGAACGGCTGGAATGACGTCGTGGTTCCCGCAATTCATGAAATCAGCATAAAAAAGCCGAACTTTCATGCTTCTTTCCGAAAGTGCACCCCCTATCCACCCCAGTACCACACACGCACACGCACATGCTGACGCTCGCGCACTCGTACACGCACAAGCTCACGCTCGCGCACACGCACACGCACACGCACCCCCCCCCCCCACACACACACACGTACACACACACACACACACACATATATATATATACATATATATATATATATATATATATATATATATATATAGGTAGACAAAAAGATGTATGTATGTACATAGGCATGCATAATGAATTAAAAGAATGATTTTGAGGCGAGTTACCAAGGAGGATTAGATATCCTACCGTGATTCCTACTGCAATGCCTCAGTGCACAGAAATGTGAAGGATTTTTCATTCCTCCTTTTTGTGTGGCAGTTTTTCAAATGCTAAACATTGTTTTAAGAAGTGGCTTGGAATGAAATAATTGAGGAGGCGTATTTTAATAGATTTTAAAATTAACCTTAAAAATATCATACACGCCGCCATTGAAGAACAAAGGTCCATAAAACATGAAAAATGGACGATAGGAAAGTAAAAAATTGAAGTTATGTTACACTTTATGGCTGCCAAATACACAGAGCTTTACCCAGTCCCAAACGCGTTTTCAATTTTCTGTAACAGACTGGCCTGAAAAAAGCGGCGGTATCCTTACAAATCCACTTTTATTCGCCTTTTCAAATTTTGTTGGTGAATGAACCGTTATGCAGTGCGCAGGTGTTTTGAATTGTAGAAGCAGATGTCTTTTTACAGCATGAATATTTTACAGCCTTATCGTCGGTTAGGTTAAGAGATAACGAGGTTAACGCGGTAAGACCATATTGCGTGCGTTAATTACTACGGTTAATAGTTTTAAAAAAATCTACATGTGATCTCCTTATTCCTTACGATGATAATTAAATAACGTGAGAAATAAATTGTTTAGAAAGTAATGGTACTCTAGTGGACGGAGAGAAAAAAACCCGTTAAGGATGTCTCATTTGATTCTTTCAGCTCAAGAAAAAAAAAAAAAAAGATTACAGAGAAATGTGTATTCACACACCAATTAACTATGTGATTGTTATATATATATGAGAAGCGTATTAGAGAGGGAGAGTGAGTGAGGGGGGAAGGGAGAGGGAGGGGAAGAGGGAGAGGGGAGAGGAGAGAGGAGAGAGAGAGGGAGAGGGAGAGGGAGAGAGAGAGAG